TATGTACAACATTAAAAAAAAAAAAAAAAAAGGAGTAAATATATTTTGAATTTGAATGGTGTTGAGCTTCAAGAATTGTGTTAGTTAGATGTTCTATTGCTCCATCAATATCATTAACAGTATTGAAAATACCACGATTTAAGGTAATATGTCGATCTATATATTTTTTGTATAACAACTAGTTGGCTCTAGAGTACTGGAACTGTTTATGAGGCCTACGTTCACATTTACTTCCAATAGAGAAAAATACAGGAAGATGAGTGGAAGACAACTGTATCAGACCACATGGCTCAGTGAGGCAATATACACAATGGTATATTGTTTACCAAGACTATGTCAGGTATTGAGGGAGTGTAAGAGCTATGGTAGTGTACCAGAGTGGGTGAGGAAGGACCCACTACGTTGTAATCATTATTTATCATATGGTCAAAAAGTAGTTCTCCATGTGAATTAGTAATTGCGGCAATTCCAATATGGATGTTTGGAGTTGAAGTCTCCCATAATGACAGAATTTGGATGGGTTTTTAGAAGCAAATCTAGATCATTGGTAAGTAACGGAAGAATCGGAGACTGGTAAGCAGAAATTATGGTAATGTGTTTACCTGAAATCGTTAATTTTATTCCTATACATTCAAGATTTTTGGTTAAAGGTAATACAATTTGCAAGTGTGATATGTCAGATTTAACTAGAATAGCAACACCCTGCCCTTTACCGTCACTTCTCTTATCCTGTCTGTATAAGTTATATCCAGGAGTGTGTAGTTTAGAATGAGAAGAGATTCTGGTCTCGCAAATAGCAATTACATCTATCGTATGTTGGCTTACCAAGTCCAGCAGCTCAGTCATTTTGGTCCGGATGCCGTCAGCATTCCAGTACAGTAAGTTTAATTTATTAGTATTATACATAGCGTCCAAGATGCGTTAATATCAATATGACCTTATCCATCATATTGTTACACGACAAGAATTGGCTTTTGATAGACTTAATAGTCGTCAGTATAGTTAACATTTCAGTAGTAGCTTGATCCTGTAGTGGAGTGTTAGGAGGTAAGTCATAGGATCGGGTATCGGGTATTTCGGCATTCCTGTACTGCCCATGTGTGTGACAGCATGATAAAATTGTCTTTATCTGAATTGTACACACTATGTAATGAAAGGTATTGGAATAACAAAAAGAAGCCATTGTTAGCTTTAATTTTCAACGAACTGGAGGATGACATTGTACAATCGTCAAATCTTGTAAATGTGTTCTCATCAAGATGTCTGGGTATCGTATATAAACCGATCAAATGTAATTAAATTAAAGTTACATATGATACAAATGGCTAAATCTAAATATGAACTTAATAATTTAATAGTAGACTTAACTCAAGGACTTTATCAAAAATATCAATATTGGATGCGATATGGACTGATATATCTAAAAATAATCATGAATTAGGTGCAGCATTTTATGTTCCAGAGTTAAAATATTATAAAATGTATAAAACGAATTCCTATATTTCTATTATGACAGCTGAACTTTATGCTATATCCAAAGCAGGAATTTGACAGGAAATGAGAAGGCAAACGTACGCAAAACAAGCTATAGAAGAAGGATTAAGTACTGAAATGATACTTGGTCAACTATGAAATTTTTAGAAAGTATATTAGCATTACTCATTACAAATGGAAAACTTATTTTGATGAAACGTCAAAAAGTAAGGGTATTCGGTATAAAGTTTACAATGTGAGCCTCCTCGTGTACCAGGGTGGTTTCGTTTCATTAAGTACAATAGAAAATTAATTGTCACAGCATTCCGGACATTATCCATTAAATTCATTTGCCTTTTTAATGCATAAAACGAATTCCCCCAACTGCGAAACATGCAATACTATAGAAGATCTGCATCACATATTAATGGACTGTGTCCGAGACACATTTAAAGGGAATTGTTTTTAAAAAAAAAAAAATTGGACTGAATCGGCTTGATGTTGGTATGTACCACGGTATACTATCTGGTCCTGTATCATAGCCAGCAAAAATGTTATTTTCATTGTACAGTAGGAGATAAGATTAGTAATAATATACAATGGGACTGTAATTATCATATGATAAAAGTCCCTAAATAAATGTAAGGATAAAAAAAAAAACCTCTATTGCGACCGCTGCGCCACACGGTCCTGAGCGTGAAGTAGGGAAAACAACCACTAGTGATTTGTTTTGGCCTAAAGTGCATCACTTCTCACTGATCGGCTGCTTTACGAACAAACAAGTCCTCCTTGAAGTGCCACTACTACATCACAGATGGCGCTATCAGTCGCTATGGACACGGATCAGATATATACTATGGAATAATGCTTTTTGGACCAAATTATTTTTAATTTTAATGCAGCGACCACGTCTGCATTTGTAGAGTGATGTATATTCAAAAAGTTTGTTAGTGTAACACTGAGGCGGTCCCTATAAGTAACGGTACTAGCCAAAGTAAATTCTTTTCAGGTCAACGTCTCATTTGGTTGTCCTTTATGTTTATATTTAGTATATATATGTATATTATTATTATTCCTTTTTTTCGATTACTAATTAGTAATTAGTAGTAGTATTTACAGAATTAAAGGAAAATTAGTTATTACATAAAGTGCTTAATTACGAAGACTCCTAAAAAAAAGAACAGTAAGATTTTGTACGTTGCTCTTTTGAATATATTTTTTTAACAAATACACAGAAACAAGCAGGAGGCATGTGATAATTAACAGTAACGCTACGTACTCGGTTATTGTTCGTACAATCACATAATATTGTAACGCTATACATTTTAAGTTTTTATTTTAAAGTTTATGAATTTGGTAGTAAGAGGAGAGTATTTTTATTTTTTATGATAATGAAATGGTGTAACCGTCAGCGATCAGTGGAGGATGACAGGATGAACATAAGGTCAGGTCAGTTAGTCCATCGTGACAAATTCACCAGGAATTTATCACGATGGTTTCTAGGGGAAATTGCGAGGAGGTCGACCTAACATGGTACATTGCTAGCAATGGGGATTACTAGTTCCCATTACTAACAATTCCCTTCCCCCAGAGGGGAGTATTACTGCTACCATGTCACACCATACGTGATGATGTAGACAATACCATGTCAGGTTTATCATAATACTCAACGCAGTTTGGGAAAACATCCAAGTTAAGTCCTGATGAATATCTAACTCTATCATAACAAGTCATAAGTTGCCTTCTACGCATGTTGAACAGCCAAAGCAAACTGATTAAGTTATTACACAAAATGTTGAGTAACCGCGCTCACTAAAATGTCACACACATGCAGGTTCACCCCTATTGAATTGTTATATTGTAGGCACTTGTCATTTGATGTTATAATTAAGCCTATATGAGTGTACTAAGATACAAATAAAAACTATTATCTATCTATGTAAGTTCCTTGGTCGTTGTTAGCTTAGCATTGCCCTTTTGCAATGTGGTGTGGATATCACGCGGCGTCACAGTATTATATAGTACAATTGTACAGGATTTCTTACATCCGGCCGCTGGCCGGCACGACATTTCTTATTTTTAAATAATTATATTTTTATACGAATACCAGCTGTACCCGCGACTCCGTCCGCATGGAATAGTGATCTTGGGTAGCATAAAATAATTAGTAATCTTATGCAAAAAAAAAAAATATCAAAGATAAAAGTTTCAGCGTTCTAGCTTCAAAAATGACGAATCTCCATATAAACAGGGGAATCTCCATGTAGAATAGGGGAAACCCTATTCTATTTAACCTTCTTAAGTGGTAATTTTTTTTGCAAACGTTGAATGTCATATTTATTTAATTAAATCAACGGCCAAAAAAAAATGAACTATCAAACTTTTACCATTAATAATGACAATACTTCCATACAACCTCTCATCTCCCCTTTACGCTCCTTACACTCCTTTTTCCGCATTAAAAAATAATAATAATAATAATAAAAGTAGTCTATGTGTTGTCTCCGAGTCTTGACTGTCTGTGTCCCTAATATAATTTAACTCGGTTCATTAGTACAGTCTCCGCTACTGTACTATGTATTACATCACTTTGCAGAAAACTAATTTTCAGTCTAATCCCGTTGCATAATTTTGAAGGCTTTGAATTTTTTGAATAGTTGAATTATTTAATTAATTTTCATGTCATCTCCATCTAATATTCGGTTGATAGAAGTATATTTCAATAATTCTCTTTCAACATTGTTAAGCATGTGACATGTCCAAGTCGAGTCGGCTTGATCATTTTGCTGAGTTAAAATTGATCTTTCAACCATGATTTCTCATGATTTGTTACTTGTCTTTGGTCACCGTAAACGGAAGCGATATAGTTCTTTAACTGAACTAACTGTGTGCCCTTCTCCTACCGAATACGTTTGTTCAGGCGCGGTTGCACTAATTTGTGGCCCAAATTTTATTTTTGATACTGCAACACTGATACGTCGGTATTTCAGCGGGCCATAGACAATATGTTAGCCGTTATATTTTCTTATTCAAAATCTGTCAACGATCGTATACGCATTATCATACGCAACCACTGTAAACCACGTAAACAAGTAAATTGAAAAACTAGCCAGGAATCTCAGAGTTTAGTTCCACCATTAAGATCCTATCCTATTAATAAAAGGCGTAAACAACGTTTCTTCGTCAATTTATATTGTCAGTGCAACACATGTTAATTGTTATTCATTTCTTTTCTATTAGAAATTGTCTACTAAATGTTACAAATGAAGTATATTCTATCTATTTCTTATCTGTGTGTATATGTGGATAGTTGGCTGTACACTATCGTGGCAGTGCAGCGCGACTGGCCTCGTCGGTGACTGGTGCACTGCTCTACTCTACTCTACTCTACTTCACTGTATTGTATTGTATTGTATTGTATTGTATTGAAGTGAGGCCCGAGCTGAGTTCCTCTCTGTAGTCGCTGCGCGCGCCGTCTGTCGGTTAAATTTAGTTTAGTAGTGAAGTGAGTAGAGTCAGTTAGTTATCGAGCGCGGCCAGTGAGTCACGTGTCACGCACGCTCCGAGCGCTGTACGAAACTTGTATCGGACTCGAGTGTGATAGCTTGTATACAATAGGTATGTGAATGAATGTTGTCGTGTATTATTAATTCATAAGAGATTCGTGTATTATTAATTTATAATTATAAACGTGCGTGACCAGGTGAAGTGTGCGATATTGAGATAAATATTGTTTACGTGCACCTACTGATGTTTCGCTGAGCGTTTGTGTATCGCCGCCTCAGGAGTGGGATTTTTATTTATGTTTTTTTTATAATTTTCGTTTATTCTGATTGTGATGATCGTTCTGTGTTACATTTTATAAGTTTTATGTCAGCTAATTTGTAACGCAATTAAAAATAACTTGTGAGAGTAAAGGGTTTATTTTAGAGCCGGCCGATGTTGCCACACTAAATATAGATTTTACGGGACCACGCTGCATAATGCAACTATGTATACAGTAATAGTGATATATTATTATTATTACAATTTATATATTACAAGGATATACACGTAGCGAAAATTAAAAGAAAATTATAAATGCGCCGGCCATTTTCCCGCCATCATTACATTAAAGGTTAAATAGTAATGGCAACAATCTTTATTCAAATAAACTTGATATCAGCACTTTTTAATAGTCTTTTTTTTATTCTTCTTGATTTCGAAAAGCAAACTTATCGCAAGAAAGTTGCGTGTTGTTGTTTTAAATACAGTAGTAAATATTGCAGGCATGTATTAAACATATAGCACACATAATATATATAAACGGGAAAACTGAAGGTAGTGGTAGGTGGTGGGTGGCTGTAGGAAAGCATTGGTGTCTGTAGGAAAGCATTGGTGTCTGTACGCAGCATGTAGTCTGTACCATATACAAATTATTACTTTATTAAAACATGAAGTCCATCACATAATGGCACTTTTTACACTAAACAATATTTCTGACACTAAACTACTTTTTCAATTCAATTGACTGGATGCAACTGAGGTTTACAGTACTCGGAAGTAAGGTTACATACCTACCAATTATAAAAATGACGAACCGCTGAATTATTTAACTGTTTTTATTTTTAATGGTTAATACTAAAATAATATTTAAAGTACAGGAATAGTTTTAAAATTATAATACCACTATTATAATGAATTGACGTGCGATGTTGAAGGGGCGCCGGCGCACGACCGCGCTACAGGCCGCTCTCTATAACATGATGTACACTGTAACATCTTTATTGTAAAGTTAACAATATCTAATTATTAATTAAAATAGTACTATAAGGATTTAGATATAAGGAGAACCTTGGTGGAACCATGTTATCTATGGCGGTTACAAACATAGTTACTAGAGACCGTAACATAAGTTTGCCGCAAGGACCGCGAGCACTTTTAAAGAACAAAATATGTAGAGTTGCTCACTAGAGTACCAGATTTAGTCTCGTACGTATCACATACGTATCACACCACTCTGTTAAGTGTAGCCATACATACACTACAACGAATTTATGAAATAATAGAAACAAGTACATAGGTACGTATTCGTGATAGTAGAAAAGTGATCATAAAAGTAGAGACAGATTGTATCATCACCTGCTTCTTCCTTATCTCATTTATTTGGAGCGGCCTGTTTTGTTTTTCTCCTCCATTCATCTCTGTTCGCAGTCATCTCGTTACTCCCTTCCTTACCATATCATCTTTCACACTGTTGAGAGAGATTATATGGGTACAATAATATGTTGTAAGATTATTTTTATATATAATAAAGTGTAGGAGCTTACATTAATATTAATTATATTTAAGTGATGCACATTAAATAAATTTGTGTGTATTTAATTATTAATGTTTGTAGTTATAAATAGGATGATCATCTAATAACGTTAAGTATGTGATAATAATATTTAGATAGACTTGTTTACACATGTGACCTTTACACTAGTGTTGTGACCCTGGTTTATGTAAATATCCGTAATTCACGCCTTCTAATATTATTTCTAATTAGGTACGTATACGCTCATTAACATTACAGCCTTTATTTATATGTACCTGACATATAAAAACAGTGAGTATGACTGCAACTAATTTAGAAATTCGCAGTGTTCGGTGTGAAATGTACATTTTTTTTTATGGATTTAATAATGCCATTGCTTTCTTAATGTTACAACACGAACGAGTACCTAATGAGGAGAACTTCCGAAGTCATTTCATTTTATACTATTTATATTCATTATTATGAATGTTGCTATTTAGCAGTTTGTACACACAGATTTTATAATGTAAAATGAACAAATTATATAGTATTTTTAAAAGAGCAAAACTAAAATTTTCTTCTTAAAGTTGCTTCTTTCGAATGAGTGGTAGAATTAACAAAAGAAAGTCACAAGTTCAAAACGCTTTTAGTTTATTTAAATTTGAGGATTACTTTTATTTCATGTCAAAGTGCATAAAAATGCAGATGTCTAAATAAAAATAAAAAAACATCATATTCAAATCGTTTACTCAAATTGTAACGTAATTGTTCGTTACTCCTCGTTACTCCTCGTTCCTCCACACACGCACGGAGTGCGGCCGGTGGTATGCATACGTACAATGTACATACGCGGTACAGAGGCGGTGGCGGAGGTCACCATGCGGCCACCAGTGTCCTGTTACAGCAACAACGACAACTGTTGTCTGGCTGACGGTGCGGCTCCGGTCCGCGATCTTATTATCATGATGAAGCACTTCCTTTCATACATTATCATTCAAATGTGGGACCCCCGGCGGTGGTCCCGGCGGCGGCCCGCGGGTACTAACGTTTGCACCTTTGCTTTTTATCCTTTTTATTATGCTTTTTGTTCCCTAATGTTTGCTAAATGGCTTTTGTATTAAATTTCAAGGTCGCTGTATCCCACGGTGGGGTGCGCGGGGCGCGGGGCGCGGGGCTTATATCATTATAATAATTCAACAGGGGTAGCAGTTTTATTATCTGATAATTTATATAACCAGGGACCGGGGACCGGGGAGCGGAGAGCGGGGAGCGCCTGGTAGTACGTACGTTGTATAATCTTAACAATTACATTGTATGGTAGTTATAAATTAATTATTTAGTTCATATCGGTTACAAAGCTTTGTTTACTTTTAACAAAGTCGTCTCAATTATCGCCCTGGTGCATTAAATACGACACGGCATTAATTTACAACACACATAGAAGGTGTCATATCAGTAAGTAGGTACCTAGTATATTACCAGTACACTGCTGGCCACAGCACTGTTGAAATATCATTCCCACAAATATTTGTCTCAAATAGCCAAAACTCGTAGGTCACATTTAAGGCTGATCGTAGAGCGAAGTGTACGTTACAAGCAAAAACATCTTAATAGCGCCAACTAAATTTTCCTATGGCGCCATCTAGTGAGCGCGGGACTAACCAAGTTACCAGCTAACATAAATTTCCTAAACAAGAACTGAAATGGACTTAAAGTTTAAAGTTGTAAAGTTTACATGTTCACTACTTACCTACAACCATACCTTCCTGAACCATAGTTGTCTTCCACCAGACGTCTTAATGTAACTATCTTAACCATTTTAGAATTTTTTGTCCGCCTAAAGGAAATTACTCATTAGAATATGTTCCCGAGTCAAGGGCATAATTAATATATTCGAATTGATTAAGTACACCATATATTTCAAATGATGTCGGAATGTGTTGATGACATGCGGCTGGCCAGCTTGAAGCTGTGAGCGCTGCTGCCGCTGTACGCGGCCGTACGCAGCCGTACGCGGCTGTACGCGGCTGTACACCGCTGTACTGTGCTATTCTCTAGAGCTACAATTGTGCTGCGACGTGTGCCCTCAGCCACGTCGCAGCGCAACTGTGTCTACTAAATGCGAATCCGTCCTCAGCCAGACACCGTGTTGCCAACAACCCTCTGAACACCCTGCGAAGCAACACACCAAAAATAACATTCCCGCTATTTTTTAAAAAGTATGTTATTGGAACCGCTATAAAATACACTGAATTATAATTTTGCATTTAAAACATAAATAATATAATAATATAATCTGAATGGTTGAGTCATTTATCATTATCATCATTATTACATTATCCAATTAAAATTGTTATATCTTTCTTAACACTTAACTGTAGTCTCATATATATATTATATATATATGTACGTGTTTTTTATAGAACGTACATAATGAAAAACATACAAAATATCAATATTCATTAATCTACCAGATATTTGTCCCCAATAAACAAATCAACCAATAGAATCATATTTTGCCCACCAAACTGGAGGTGACTCAGTGAGGTGGCAACACCGGCTACATCCAGCCCCTGGGCACGAGGGCTGCGCACCGCATCCCCTACACTGCTGACACTCGCCTCACAGACGTACACACACATACAGATAACATTTGTAGCACTATCACATATTACATAATATACATTCACTTATATTAATCATATGCTATATCTTTATCTTATAAAATCTGTATTATGTCATATTAATCTATACATATATCAATAAAATTGAATTGTCCGTAAAAAAGGTAAAAAATTGTTATTGTAGTAAATAACGGTTATTTCAATATTTGTAACATTGTACAAATATTGACATATATAACCGTTATTTACTACATGCATATATAAATACGGTACATACGGTACTCTTTGTTCCTCTAATCTCTGAAATAGCTGGACCGATTTTGACGGGAATTTTTTAGCAGGTAGCTGACATAATAAGGAGTCACTGAGGCTACTTTTATTTTAGAAACATTCTTTTATTTTAGAAAAATAATGTTAAATTCCACGCGGACACAGTCGCGGGAACAGCTAGTCCTATTATAAATTCGAACGTTTGTCTGTTTGTCTGTCTGTCAGCACCTTTAACAGATTTTATTGAATGACATAGCATAATACGAGATCGGACGAAAAGCAAACGAAGTTACTGATAACAAATAGTATATATTATTTTTTATTGCCTTCTGTTATTTTCCAAACAGTAGCCAGCAGTTATGCAGACTGTACATGAATCGTAGATAGACAAATAAATTAATTTCGTACTAATTCGTACATGTAGAGTACAGTATGAGATCGCGGAC